AGATAGATAGATAGATAGATAGATAGATAGATAGATGTAAGTATTTGATGTACAGGTCAAAGGTCAAAATCCAGTTTGATAGAAAGATAGATAGAGATAGGCAAGGCAAGGCAAGGCAAGTTTATTTGTATAGCACATTTCATACACAATGGTAATTCAAAGTGCTTTACATAAAAGAAAAGAAAAAAAATAATCACAACAATAAAACAAGGAATTTAAAAACATTGAAAATGATTAAAACAATTGATTTAAGAAGTTTAAAATGAATTTAAGAAAACGATTATACATAGAATATAGTGCAATCAGTTCGGACATCGCACAGTGCTCATTCAATGAATGCACAGCTAAACAGATGAGTTTTGAGTCTGCATTTAAATGTGACTAATGTTTTAGCACATCTGATCTCTTCTGGAAGCTGATTCCAACTGCGGGCGGCATAATAACTAAAAGCAGACTCCCCTTGTTTTGTGTGAACCCTTGGTATTTCTAACTGACTCGATCCTAATGATCTGAGTGGTCTGTTAGGTTTATATTCAGTGAACATATCTGCTATGTATTTAGGTCCTAGGCCATTGAGTGATTTATAAACGAGTAAAAGTACTTTAAAATCTATCCTAAATATAACTGGAAGCCAGTGTAAGGACCTGAGGACTGGTGTGATATGCTCAGATTTTCTGGTTCTAGTCAGAATTCTGGCAGCAGCGTTCTGGATGAGCTGCAGCTGTCTAATGGTCTTCTTGGGAAGGCCGGTGAGGAGAGCATTACAATAGTCCACCCTGCTGGTGATAAAGGCATGAATAAGTTTCTCCAAGTCTTGACTGGAAACAAAACATCTAATTCTTGCAATGTTTTTGAGATGATAGTATGCTGATTTAGTTACTGCTTTGACATGACTACTGAAACTAAGGTCTGTCTCCGGAATCACACCAAGATTCCTGACTTGATTTTTAGTTGTTTGACCCCTAGAGTCAAGGTATGCATTCACCTTGAGAACTTCATCTTTGTTTCCAAATGCAATGACTTCAGTTTTTTCCTTGTTTAACTGAAGAAAGTTCTGGCACATCCAACTGTTAATTTCATCAATGCATTGGCAGAGGGAGTGAATGGGGCTGTAGTCATTTGGAGATAAGGCTAGGTAAATCTGGGTATCATCTGCATAGCTGTGATAGGCGATTTGGTTCTTTCTCATTATTTGACTTAGTGGGAGCATATACAGGCTAAACAAGAGCGGTGCAAGAATTGAGCCTTGTGGGACTCCGCATGTCATGGACGTCCACTTAGACTTATGCTCTCCTATACTCACGTAATAACCTCTCCCTTCTAAGTATGACCTGAACCATTTGATTACCATCCCAGAAAGCCCGACCCATTTTTCCAGTCTCTCTAGTAGTGTTATGATCGACAGTGTCAAACGCAGCACTGAGATCTAGTAGTACCAGCACTGATATAATATTTAAGCTAAAAATAAGCTAATATTTGTGAGTTATCGCCTTACTGGTGTGCATGTAAACATGCTCACTGTTTTTCCATCTGTTGTTTTGTGCCACTGTGTGGACGCACTCACCTGAGGTCACGCACTTCCTGTTGAGTGTGCTGGTACTGTGCCACCATCCGAGCGAGATCAAAACTGTGAGTTCGGTACGAGTCTGTAAAACTCTCCAAAGTCTGCAGAATAAAAATATCACACGAGTGTGACCTGAACCAAAACAGCACACTGAACAAGCTATTTGCTGAAACTACACGGCAAAAACATCTGCAGAACATAAACTCTTATGTGAAAAGCATATATTCAGCACCATGACCTGTGTATTTGGAAACATTAGCCGATCATAACTGAAGTCATTTTAAATGCATGTTAAAGGTACAGTACCAAAAACACCCCTTCAAGATTAATAATGTAAAGGATGAGAAAAGGCAAAGGTTTGGGGGATTTTGTAATGTTTTTGAAGTACGTCCCTTATGTTCACCAAAACAGCATTTATTTGATCAAAAATACAGTAATATTGTGAAATATTATTACAATTTAAAATAAGTGTTTTCTATTTGAATAGATTTTAAAATGTATTCCTGTGATGCAAAGCTGAATTTATCAGGCTTCAAAAGAACAGCATTTATTTGAAACAGAAATGTTTTGTGACATTATAATGTCACTTTTCATCAATTTAATGCATGCTTGTTAAACAACATTATTAATTGCTTTCATCCTGACCTTTTGAGCGATAGTGTGTGTCATTTCTTTACCTTAGAGCTGCGTTCATACTGCCTCCTTGTTTCTCTGGCCTCTGACTGGAGCTGGAACGTATCTTCCTCCTGCCGCACTACAGAAACACAAGTCAGTTTGCTTTTTTAACATTCATGAACACGATGTAAATGTAACCAGAGTCTGAATGCCTATCAATATTGCAGGCGTTGTGAATGTGAAGCCAACACACAAACAGGCAGTATCTGAGCGGGATGTTTATTTGCGTGACAGTGAAAGCAGCAGATCGGCTGTGCGTGTGTTTATTTTGACACAAAGTGCATTTGCTCTGGCAGAGAGCCCTGACTGTAATAACACAACACTGAAAGAGTTTGATTTATGCGTGTAACACTACAGTGTATACATCGAATACACTCAGGTGGAGAAACATGAAAAGTAACTAGTTTATGACCTACTGAGTTTGTTTTTGAGAATGTCCACCTCTCTCCTGAGCTGCTCCAGTTCTTCTCTGCGCAGTTTAGAGCTGAAACTGTGGATGGACAAACATAGTTATAAACAGTAAATAGCTGTGATTTTCAACTACTACATGTACACTGCTACACTGCTGTTAAACTGCTTCTTTTACACTAGTGGAACACTAGCACATTTAAATCACACCTTATTTATGTGTTCCTGAGCAATAGAATGAATACTTACTATGATTTTTATGATGATATTGATATAAAATTAGAAAATCATGGCTCTTAAGGTGATATTAAGCAACTTTTAATTTGGTCAGTTCCTTTCTTGTCTTGAGACTCAACAACGTTGAGGTACACAATATAAATATTGCATATAAATACATTATACATCTCTGAAGAATTACCTTTCTTGGCAGTTTCCCAAAGCCATGCCTCTAAAATAAAATAAATAAAATAAAATAATAAAATAAAATAATAAAATAAAATAATAAAATAAAATAATAAAATAAAATAATAAAATAAAATAATAAAATAAAATAATAAAATAAAATAATAAAATAAAATAATAAAATAAAATAATAAAATAAAATAATAAAATAAAATAATAAAATAAAATAATAAAATAAAATAATAAAATAAAATAATAAAATAAAATAATAAAATAAAATAATAAAATAAAATAAAGGTCCTCGGTTCTTACCCTTTCTGATCAATGACTTTCCAAGATTTTTCCAAGAAATCACTCAATAGGATTTTTTTTTTAATTATTATTATTGTATGGAGACTGAACTCCAAAACAGGTTATTATCAATAACTAAAACAATTAAAAAAAAATAATAATAAATAAAAAAAAAAATAAAAAAAACAGACCTTTCTTCCTGGTTTCCTAGAGTCGTGGCACGGTTGATCTGACCTCTCAGACTGCTCAGCTCTCGATCCATCTCTCTCTTCCACTGCTCGATCCGTCGGTCCGGTCCAGGACTCAGTGATCTCCGCCCCGCATCCCGCTCTCTCTCCTCCAGTTTATCCTGAAGTCTCTTCTGCTCCTCTGGAAGACAGAGATTCTGGAGTAAATATGACCTCAGTAACAACAGAAATAGTCTATTTACTTATTTATAGGAAAGAAGTGTTAATTGCAATAAAATTGTAGTATAATGAAGTACATTGAAACTGATTGATGATCACCTTGTAATGTTTGCATTTGTCTTTGCTGAGTGTTTCGTTCTCTTTCCAGTAATCGAAGACTCTGTGTTAAAGTCTCAATGGCCTGTGACAAAAACAACATTTAAAACTTGTTTGTTATTCTAGAATGATCCGTTGTTGAATTCATTTTATTAAATATAAATCTCCAAAACAAAAAGGTAAACAGATACATTCTGCCTCCATTTACAATAACAGTACTAAATACAGATAAATAAAACTCAAATGTAAGTTCCTATGATTTTCAGGATGCAGAAAACATATGGAATCATAAAATCTAGTCATAAAAATTGAATTTACTTTATAACAAGGAATGTTGCGGTAATTGGCAAATTTTGGATGAATAAATTAAAAATAGGGCTGTACAATTAATCATAAATCAATATTTTTTAAGGATTATCATGCAATGTTAACAGTAAAATTGTACTCTGTTGTGCAGCACTTTATTTGCCAAAAATTAAAAAGAACTGTTACATTTTCATTTGATTATATTTAGATTTTATCAGTTAATGTTTCATGGCTTCATTTGATAACCACCGTTTTTGATAATAAAGTTGTATTAATCATAAATCAAGGAAAATTCAAATAGAAAATGTCTGAAAAAAATAAAAGTGCCCTAATATTGTAAAAATTGTACTAAATTATTAAATTGCTAAGGTTTTATGAATTCAACTGATTAGACATTTTTGAATAACATTTAATGAAACAATTAAAACTAAATCCAGAAAAATAAAAAATGGAAACCACAGATTTTGGCAAAAAAAATATGAGGGATTTCCTAGGGCCCTAAAAATGTACTTTTTGTCAATCTTTTGATCAATTGTTGTTACATTTTAAAATATTTCAAATGATTAGACATTCCTTTTGATTACTAAAATTTTATTTTAATTAATAAAGTTTTGATCTCTTCAAGAGTGAGTGCTGCACCTTTTTCAACTGACATAAAATTTTATTTTAACCATTAAAACGGAATCAGGAAAAATTTAACTGAAAAAAAAAAAAACAGAATCCAGAAAAAAATTCGACGTAATTTAGGAAAAAATATAACATTTCAAAGGGCCCTACCAATGTATTACGTGATCCATATCCACATATTAATAGCACACTATCTTGGTTGTTCACCACAGCTGGACATTAACATGTGATTCGAGCAGGTGTTAGTCTGACCTGACTCTGCTGCTGTAATTGTGTTTGGATGGCGGTCAGATCTGACCACTGAACCGTAGACAACTTCAGATCAACACCGGCTGTGACCTCTCTGACCGGAAACACATCTACAGAGAGAAACACATGGCCACGTGAAATCAGATAAATAAAATCAAATATAAACATTAGACGGAATAACTTACACTAAATGGAAATTACAACCCAATTCCAGAGAAGTTGGGACGTTTTGTAAAAATGCAATAAAATCAAGAATCTGTGATTTGTTCATTCTCTTTAACTTTTATTTAATTGACAAAAGTACAAAGAAAAGATTTCCAAAGTTTTCACTGACCAACATAAATGTATTTTGTAAATATGAACAAATTTTGATTTTGATGGCTGCAACGCATTCAAAAAAGTTGGGACCGAGGCAAAATAAAAGTGAAAAGGTTATAGAATATCCACTTTAAACTTCTGCTGCATCAAGAAATGCAACTTGAATATCTGTTACTCTAGGAGAAAGCTATACATCAATTCTATGCAGCGATGCCGCCGGGTTCTCTGGGCCAGAACTAATCTCAGATGGTCAAAAAGACAGTGGAAATGTGTGCTGTACTCAGATGAGTCCACATTTCTATTCGTTTCTGGGAAAAATGGATTTCGAGTTCTCCATCCCAAAGACCAAAGGGACCATCCAGACTTTCATCAGTGACAGATGCAAAAGCAAACATCTGTCATGTTATATGAGTGCATCAGTGCAAACAGCATGGGTGACTTGCATATGTGTGAAGGTACCATTGACATGGAGGCATATATTGGAGTTGTACAGAGAAATATATAGTCTTTCATGGGAAGTGCATGGTTATTAGATCAAGACAATGCCAGCTCTCATTCTGCATGTGCTACAACAGCGTGGTTTCGTAGACTCAGAGTGAATGTGTTAGATTGGCCTGCAGTTCAGATCTGACTCCTATTGAAAATGTATGACCAGTCATGAGAAGGAGAATCAGACAACGACAATCACAGACTGCTGAGCATCTGAAGTGTAGACATCAAAATCTAAATTTGTTCATATTTACAAAATACATTTATGTTGGTCAGTGAAAACTTTGGAAATCTTTTCTTTGTACTTTTGTCAATTAAATAAAAGTTAAAGAGAATGAACAAATCACAGATTCTTGATTTTATTGCATTTTTACAAAACGTCCCAATTTCTCTGGAATTGGGGTTGTAGAACTGAAATAAGTTTAGCCTGAAACAATAAAATTAATTACCATAAATAAAAACGAACACTGAACTAAAACAGGAACCGAAATTAAAGTAATTTAAACCTAAATAGTAACAAAAAAATTAAAATGACAAAAGAACATTTTTACAACAAAATTACTTAAAAACTTAAAATATAAAAAGCTTATTTAAAGTGTTAATAATAATAATAAAAACTAAACTAACACTCATCCCAAATAGAATATGTAACCTAGTATTTTAACATTTTGTCAATAAAAGTTTGTAAGACTTGTACTAACTTCCAAGACTTCTTCAGGTCTGGAAGGGATTTAAAAAAAATCTCTTTTATTTCCAGATTAGGAACAGAAAACATTAACACAGAACATTCCCCATCTGCCAACATTTATTATTTATGCTCCATTAATGGACTTAATAATCATTTAAAAATTAGTTTACCTTCTGTTACTCTGGGAGATCTTCCATGCACAGTAAGGCGTTCCTTGTAAGATAAAATATGAATAACTGAGGTAAATTAAAACTTACTACAAAAGAAAGTCAGTCACGCAGGTTCAGAATAACATGCGTGAGTAAAAAGAACTGTAATTTTAAACGTGTCGCTTTAATTAATCTAACAGACATCAAGAGCGCACTCTAGCGGCTAGTATCTGCAACATACTAAACTGACACACATGTACAGAAAATTCAAATTAATCTAATTATTAGTGGAAAGTCAGTCACGCAGGTTCAGAATAACATGCGTGAGTAAACAGAACTGTAATTTTAAACGAACTGTCGCTTTAATTAATCTAACAGACATCAAGAGCGCACTCTAGCGGCTAGTATCTGCAACATACTAAACTGACACACATGTACAGAAAATTCAAATTAATCTAATTATTAGTGATGAAATAGTCTCTTACTCTCATTTTTGCGACACTTCCATCAGCCTCGGAGATGATGGAGCTCAACTGTTGATCCCAGTTCATCCTGAGCGGCTGATAATCAACTTCTCGATTAAAATACGAGCCTAACCCCAGCCTGCGTTATGAAGACACATAGAGCCAGCGGGAATGATGACAGGTGAGGTTACAGCGACAGGTAAACGGATCGCGAAGCGACACCTGATATAATGCAGAGGAGTGTTTCAGCTTTAGGAAACAAACGACTGAAATAACGCTTCAAAACACACGCGCGAGAAACTCTATGAGACCGGTCATTTCAAAGAAACCTCACGAACGCATGTCCTCTCATAAAAATGGTCATTAAAGGAGTTATTATATGTCTAAAATCCTCTATTCATGGGATCAGTGCCCATTTCAGTTTAAATCCAGGAGCCACTATATTCTACGCCACTTCCGGAACAACAGATGGCTTATGGGAAATGTGGTGAATCTCGTTTAATGGCAGCTCCCTCCTCAGGAAAGAAGGGATACAGCTAATTTTCTCCCTATTAGATTGTGTTTTATTAACGTCTACACCTACCCCAACCCTAAACCTACCCATTACAATAATGAAAAAATAGTAATTATTGTTGTACAGTGTGACAAAATTACGCTGTATTGATGTGCGCATGCCCAGTAGCGCCATACCTATCCCTTCTAGCCTTAAAGGAACACTCCACTGTTTTTGAAAATAGGCTCATTTTCCAGCTCCCCTAGAGTTAAACAGTTGAGTTTTACCGTTTTCGAATCCATTCAGCCGATCTCAGGAACTCAGGAATTGTAGCAAACATTATGGAGGGGAAAAAAGACCCACTATATTAAGATGCGACACTATCTAAACACATTTTATTCTACTGCATAAACCTGTGTGTTTAAAAAATGTAAAAAGTGCCCTTAACACATGAACACCTCATACATCTGCTCCTAAAATATCCACAACATGTATTAATTTACTTATCATTTAATCAAACTACTGCTATAGACATACATATTCTGCAGTTTCTGGAATATATACATATCATTTCTAATTTATTCAAATAAACTCATGTTTACTAACATTTTTCTTAATGCAATTCAATGAGTGAGGCACAAAACTTGAGATAAATTAGTTTTAGTTGGTATTAAATACTATTATTAATATGGTATTTTTAAGCATATTTTTGTTTTAGTATCTTGTGTACCACAAAAACAGCTTCCCTTTCTAAAATATTAGAATAACACTTAAAATTATATTATTTTAGCTAGTTGCCAAAGCAACATTTCTCATTTTCATTTAGTTTAACTTGATGTACTAAAATATAACAAATTAAAACTGAAATGTAAATGAAAAACTACTAAAAACAATTAAAAAAATTACAAGACAACAAAAACTTTAACCAAAATTAAAATGAAAACAGAATATACAATGAAACTAATTCAAATATATATATATATATATATATATATATACAAAAAACTTTAACAGTACCTCAATACTAAAATAGCACTGATGTGGTAAATCTTCATGCACTTGGTTGTTATAGTATGCATTTTTCAAATAATGTCATTTCTATGCAATTTATGAGGGAAAACTGAACTGAACTTTGTCATTTTTGTGCCGTTTATTTAAAACACAAATGAACACACTGGATTCTTACAGTGAGAAATGAGCCTCTAGTGTTTTTCTAAATTTGCACAACAGAGAAAATAAAGGTGTTTTTTTATCTTGTCATCTTCATAGAATGTAGAATTAGAATAGTAAACATAATTTTCACTGTTTATAATATTTGGGCCATTTGACCCATTTCAACCCACAGTTGCATCCGAGCAACGTTCTCCCAGTGTTCACCGTGCAAAGAAACAGACCCAGCAAAGCAACCATACCGAACGACCCACGGTGGCGCTTCTTGGGCTCTAACAGGACAGAACACAACACAGAAACACATTTCACTAGCTGTTTTGATCTGTATTCATACTGTCAGTTTACTTGTCTTTAATATACACAGATCAGTACGGTGGAAGTGCAAAGAGACTCACTTCCGGAAGAGTATCCATGAGCGTACAGCACCCGACTGACGATCCAGATCATTCCCAACACGCTGGCCAGACGCTGAGAAGCACAACCACAACAAACAGTTCACTTCACAGTTTGCGTTAGCTTGCATGCATGCATATTTATAGTGCACCTCCAGGTAAGGGTTAATAAAGCTTGAATCTGTACTCACTGGATGCTGAATCCCTCCCACAGATAAATGAAACAGGAATGGCGACAAGAGTTCAACGCTGTTTTACAATAATAATCACAGATGTGAAAATCAATAAATCATCGGCAAATGAATAAGGACCACAACATTCACTTTTCTATAAAATGTAAAACATTCAGTAAGCTGATATTTATTGCAAAGGAAACTTTCATATTTAGCAGTAATATAAGATTTGCTGTGAACACACACATATTTCCTGTATATGTGATGCATGCTGTACATACGTGTTCTGATGCGCTCGCTGGATACAGTTGAATTTGTGACCAGTCTCTGGATCATCACTGTACATTGTCGGATACTATAAAATAAAATAAATACTTTCTTCTTGGTTAAGGGCAAACTAATTAAACTAATGAGACCATTAAGCAAAATCTTTGAAGTACTCTAAAAAAGTGGTTCTCAACCAGACATGGTGGAATAAATGCTAATGCAAACAATCAAATGCAACTGAACATATAATTGTGTATGGTTAGGATAGCAAAACTTACCATTTTTTGAAAAGGAAAGCTGTGTCAATTGTCTGAATTTTGGGGCCTTGAACTAAAACTTTGGAACTCACTGTTGAATTATGAGTGCATGTGCAGTGATTAGTGTATGCTAAGTTACCTGGACATTGTATTTAATCCGAGCCTTCACCACAGCATGAGACAGATGAGCCATCAGGAGAAACGATGCCGCTCCAGTTAGAGCCACATAGCCGTACTCTTTGGACAAAACCACCATCTTTTAGACTGAGGAGAAAACAGAAATATTACAGGATCTGTGTGAGATGACAACATACAGATGTGGACAGCACAGAAGGACTAGGAAATATGGGACTACAGAAATATCCCCATTTGATGCTGATTACACAGACAAAAATCAAATGAGAAAGTGCTCAGTCATCTCCATCTGTGATAGTGCAGTGAACTCAAAGTGGACTTTTGTTACTATCAAAAGCACAAAATGAGAGTAGGTCATAAGCAGCTGCAGTAAAGTTAAAGTCAATTTATTTTAATAGTTGTCAAACATCTACATTTTTGTTAAATAAGCACACGTGCAGGAAAAGGTCAATTTGCTGCATGCACCATTCACAACAGTGTAAAAGCAAAAGACATGCATTCATGTCGGTAATCTTGCTGTTAGTTGCGTTATTTTGATTTGTTCACATTATTCAGACACAATCATTATTGTCAATCAAGACAGTTTTAAAGACATTTGCTGATTTTCTTTTGTTACCTGTTCTGTGCTTCTGTGCTGGTTATCTAGAGGACGGAGGCCGGAGGACAAAGATCATGTAGTAAATGTGACGCGTACGGGTAAAGGGTCAAACTCCATAAGCCCCATCCGGTCCTCCTTCAAGAAGCCAAATGCACTGTTTGTTTAGAAAATGGAACCATTTAAAAAGGACTTTAATGCTTAACTTTTAAATAACAATTATAAAATATAAGAAATAAGAAACATATAAAAAAAATATAAAAATATATCCTGTTTTCTCATTTTCTAATCTTTAATAAAAATGTTTTTTGTTTTTAATGCCACGTCAGCAGCAGGACTATGGCAAAAGCAAAGTCATAAAAGTTGCACAATTAACTTGCACAAAAGACTTAAAGGGTTAGTTCACCCAAAAATGAAAATTAGCCCATAAATTACTCAACAGGTTTGGCTACTTTAGTAATTTCCATGAGTGCAAATCTTGATGTTTAAGCATATAATGACATTCTAGGGAACTCTGTGCTTCTAATTTTATAGCAACAGTTTGGACAGGACCCTTTTCTATTCTAACATTCACCAAACACCAATGACCTATACATACACTATATGGACAAAAGTATTGGGACTCCCCCTTCTTTAGAACAGAAAAGACACTTCCAAAACTATGTCAACAAAGATGGAAACATAATTCATGTATTTAAAAATTGTATTTCCATCTCTGTTGCAACAGTTTTGGAAGTGTCTAAAATGACTGTACCCATATGTACAAGTACATACTTCCAAGGGTGTAGTTTTGGTTTGAACATTGTGGGGGTTGAAGTGTGAACTGTTTTAGTAGAGTCCTGGGTCATGCTCACTCATAAGGTTTATTTATTTGTTTGTTTGCTTATATATTTATTTTTGTGAAATGGTCTTTTGTGCTATTATCTATGCAAAGTTGGTGCAATAAAGTAACATCATAGTGAACAATTACTTGTTTACATAGGATATATACAGTTGTGGTCAGAATTATTGGCACCCCTGGTAAATATGATCAAAGAAGGCTGTGAAAATAAATCTGCACACTCATAAGGTTTATTTATTTGTTTGTTTGCTTATATATTTATTTTTGTGAAATGGTCTTTTGTGCTATTATCTATGCAAAGTTGGTGCAATAAAGTAACATCATAGTGAACAATTACTTGTTTACATAGGATATATACAGTTGTGGTCAGAATTATTGGCACCCCTGGTAAATATGATCAAAGAAGGCTGTGAAAATAAATCTGCATTGTTAATAATTTTGATCTTTTATATGTTGATGCTTCTTCTCTTCAGTTCACCGCATTCATTTTCTATAGGGTTCAGGTCAGGAAACTGGAATGGCCATAGCAGAAGCTTGGTTTTGTGTTCAGTGACCCATTTTTGTGTTTTTAAGGTTTGTTTTTGGATTATTGTCCAGTTGGAAGATCCAAACATGGCCCATTATAAGATTTCTAACAGAGTCAGTCACTTTTTGATTTTTTATCTGTTGGTATTTGATAGAATCAAAGATGCCATGTATCTAAACAAGATGTCCAGGACCTCCAGCAGAAATATAGGCCCACAACATTAAAAATACAGCAGTATATGTATGTATTTATATTATTTAGGCACTTATAAGCTATAGTTTGACAGAATGTTCTAACTCAACATGCCAATCTAACTTAACATTTTCTTATATTGATACTGTTTATCTCTTACTCCTTAAAGGTGCAGTAGGAGATCTTGGAAAATGCTAGCTTTAGCCTGATAGCACTGAAAGCGAACGTCCCACCCTTCCTGCAATCGCCGGCAGTGAGGGGCTACTGCTGCAATCACCGTCTAAAGCCACGCCCCCTGAACCCATTTACACTCACAGACCAGAATACCAGAGACAACATTACAATAGGCTACATCAGCGGTTCCCAATTCCAGTCCTTGCACCCTCCTGCTCTGCACATTGCATATGTATCTCTTTCACGTGCGACGTTTGTTCTATTCGACCGTAAGTGCCCTGGGAA